ATCCCTCTGTTAATGCAGCCTAGCACTGTGTTGGCTTTTTTGGCAGCTGCAGCACACTGCTGGCTCATATTTAAATGATTGTCCACTAGGACTCCGAGATCCCTCTCACAGTTACTACTATTGAGCAAGGTACCCCCATACTATACCTGTACATTTGGTTTTTCTTGCCTAAATGTAGAACCTTACTTTTTTCACCATTGAATTTCATTTTGTTAGATAGCGCCCAGTGTTCAAGTCTGTCCAGATCCTCCTGTATCCTAAGTCTGTCTTCTGAAGTGTTGGCTATTCCTGCCAGCTTGGTGTCGTCTGCAAATTTGATGAGTTCCCCATCTATCCCATCATCCAGATCATTGATGAAGATTTGAAGAGCACTGGGCCCAGAACAGAGCCCTGGGGCACCCCACTACACACTTCCCTCCAAGTAGATGCGGTTCCATTGAGGACCACATGCTGAGTACAGCCGGTCAGCCAGCTACGGATCCATCTGGTGGTGATGCTGTCTAACCCGCATTTTTCTATCTTATCAAGTAGTAGGTTGTGATCTACTTTGTCAAATGCCTTACTGAAGTCCAAGTAAATTATATCCACAGCATTCCTCTGATCCACTAATTTTGTCACTTGGTAAAAGAATGCAATAAGATTTGTCTGGCATGCTCTGTTTTTGACAAACCAGTGTTGGCTTTTAGTAATGACTTTGTTTGCCTGTAGTTGTTCGCTGATTCGTTGTTTGATTATCTTTTCCAGAATCTTCCCAGGTATTGAGGTCAGGCTGATAGGTCTGTAATTTCCTGGGTCCTTTTTTCCCCCTTTTTTAAGATGGGAACTACATCAGCTCTTTTCCAGTCCTCTGGTAGTTCCCCAGTGCTCCAGGATCTTTGAAAAATATAATTCAGTGGTTCTGAGATCACATCTGCCATTTCCTTGAGAACCTTGGGGTGTAATCCATCTGGTCCTGATGATTTGAACTCGTCTAGGCCGGACAGGTATTCACTTACCATTTTCTTGCCTACATTATCTTATATTTCTATTTTGTTTTTTATGGCACTATTTTTGATAGGTTAGTCTGTTTTTTCCCTTTATGTAAAGACAGATGCGAAAAACAAGTTAAATAATTCTGCTTTCTCCCTGTTGCTTGTCACCTTCTTGCCACTTTCACCCACTAATGGACTAATTGTTTCCTTCACTTTTTTCTTGTTTTTACATGTTGAAAGAAGCTTTTTTTTTTGTTATTTTTGACTTCGGTTGCAAGCTTTAGTTCATTTTGAGCCTTAGCTTTCCTCACTTCGTCTTTACAGGCTCGGGCTATTTGCTGATATTCTGATATTGGAAGACTGCAATCATGTCACCCCTCATCCTTCTCTTCATTAAACTACGGTAGATATACTCAATTCCAGCAACTGTTCCTTATATGCCAAAAAAGCCAACACAGTGCTAGGCTGCATTAACAGAGGGATAGAATCAAGATCATGTGAAGTATTAATACCACTTTACAATGCCTTGGTAAGGCCACACTTGGAATACTGCATCCAGTTTTGGTCACCATTATTATTATTATTTATTTATGTTTTAGCCTCCGGCCCCCTGATCTTCTTTGTTGCTCTTCTCTGCACTCCTTCTAACATCATCTTTATGACATGATGAATTCAGACTGATAAGAACACTCAGATGATCCTTGCACTTACATCCTTTGCAGCCTCCCCAGGGTCATATGATCAACATCTGGACGCTTAGCAACTGGCACGTATTCATGATGGTTCAGCATCCTGGGGCCAGGTGACTTTCCCAGCTGGGTTCCTACAAGCAAAGTCAAAGGGAGAAGTCAGATTCCCTTAATAACTGCACGAATCACTTAACAACTGCAGTGATTTGCTTAACATTCATGGCAAAAAGGTTGTAAAATTGGGTGTGACTCACTTAATCCCATTGCTTAGCAACAGAAATTCTGATTGCAATTGTCATCGTAAGTTGAGGACTACTTGCATTATATTTAGATGTAATTAGGAAAATGGATTAGTCCTGATGACAGTGTAAATATCCCACCTCAGGCAAGTTATAGAAAATTAGTTATGTTTATTATTTCCAGTATATTGGAAATATCAATTTAAATATCAATTGTGTTCTGAGATCTAACTCACAAATTGCTTTTAGCCATGGTTTGTTAGCAATAACAAAACAGATTGAATTCTTAATGTGATACTTGAAGCTAGATCATGACCTTCATAAATACAGGATTTACTGAACAAATTTGGAAGCCTGAACTGGAGAAGACATTATTTACTGGATTTGCCTATAATTAAGAAATGAAGTTGTTGGATGAAGAGTTTTATATCTGTTAATTAAGAGAAGGTGAAGAGATTATGAAATTATTTATACTTGTCGTACTGAAGGTGGAAAGTTGCTTTCTTAGGATTTTTCTTTTTTTTTTCTTTTGCTTTCTTGGATATTTGTCTCTCTCTTTTTCTCTTTAGTTTTTTATTATCTTTCACCATTGTAATTAAAACTTTTCATAAAATTATTATTTAAGAAACACAATTTGGAAAGAGGCCATTTTAAATTCACCTGGGCTTATTTTGGAGTGGACTTGGATAGGAGTTCTCTATTATTTATTTATTTGTTTGTTTGTTTGTTTGGAAATTTTATTGGCCTATCTTACCATAAGGTAACTCTGGTGGCTTACAGTCATAAAAAATATACCTACATTAAGACCTAAATAAATTACAACCAAAACTTAAAATCTAAGGATATGTGGGGAGGGGGATCGGAGCAGAGTGGAGGGAGGTGGGATCTGTTGTTACTCAATCAACCACCTCCACTGTGCTGTTCTCCCACTGGGGCCCCAGTCCCACTGGCAGTGCCAGGTCTTTAGGCCCTTATGAAAGGATAGGAGGGTTGGTGCCAACCTCACAACGGAGGTGGGGGGGCAAGATGTTCCAGAGGGCAAGAGAAACAGCAAAGAAGTCCCTCTTCCTGGACCTCGCCAGCTGGAATAATCGGGCTGATGGGACCCACAGCATGCCACCCCTGCTGGCACAAGTGGCATGGGCCAATCCCAGTACGGGTGGGATTTATTTATAAGAATAAAATAATTGTTTTATGGTTGATTGGTCTATAATTTCTTTTCAGACAATATTTTAATTCCCAAATCTGCCACTATTTTTTAATTGTTGATTTAGATTTGTGTATTTAGTTTTCATATGTTCGAAGGCTATAGAATTAAGTGCTATAATTTTATACTTGTGGTTGCTCAGTGTATTTCTTCTTTACAGACTAACTTGTCTCTTAAAACAACTTTAAGTAACGTAGGCCAAAGGAAAGCCAAGACGGAATTTTTATTAACACGTTGGTACAGAATCTGTCTTGAAAGAGCCGGCATCATCGCTAGACGAGTTTTGACTTCCAAAAGAACACATTGACATAAGTGCAGATTGGATCCAACCTTGGGATGTAAACCAGCTAGATTTGCAGGAGGAAGAGAAATTAGAGAAGATAACAAGGGCCAAAATCTTAAACACTTTATTTTTCTTGCATTGCTTCCAAGCAAGGCAGATGATACAGTTAGAAGAACACAGCTTTATCTGTGACCTTTCAACACAGAAAAACAATGCTGGAGCTAGCAAAAACTTAAAGATTTGGCCTTGTGCAGCTGGCTGTTGACCGTCTTCATCCGTCTTCTGAATGACTCTACCCTAATTCAAGAGGAGCTTCAAACCACAATATCACACTCCAACTTTCATAAATTCAGGGATTTTTCTTCCTTGCTTTAGCACAGTTCTCTGTAATACCCCAGCTTTCCTTTGACAGGTGGGGTAAGAGAGGAGGGTAGAGTGGCACATTTCCTAAATATAATACTATAGCCATCCACTGCTTATTTTCTAAGAATAATTTTATTTATATAGCTAAGTCTCTAAGAATATCTAGATATATTTTTTGCAAATAAAATGGTAGTGAGAGCTGCACCTTTCTTTATAGTCCTTCCTTCCTTCCTTCCTTCCTTCCTTCCTTCCTTCCTTCCTTCCTTCCTGGTTTATAATTATGTTGAACTTGTTCATTTCTGCTGTTTTTTATGTCATGGCATGGACTGGGAGGGAAAAGGGTTACATATAAATATTTATTTATCTGAAGAGTGTTAAAAAGATGGATGGATGGATGTCGGCAGAATAGCCAGAATAGAGAACAGTTTGGGAATGATAATTCCAGTTTCTATGCAATTGGTAGAGATGTTACAGGCTACTTGCCTACTTAGCTCATTTTCCCAGTACTGACTTCCAAGAATAAATTCACAATCAGCTAACTATCTTAACATATTATTGGATATTTTCTTGCCATCCAGCATATGGCAAATCAGATCAGAGACTTTTCCATCCAATTCTTGCAATCCATTGCATTTCTAATCCCACCCATTTGGGAGGTCTGAATTTATCCATTGGTTAGCTGAGCAGTGCTGACTTTATAAGACACCTGCTTTCTGCGCCTCTGAGCAGTAGAGTGCCTGGCCTGGGACAGGAATGGAAAAGCTGATCTTGCTAACATGGGCAACCAGTTTCCTTGGTAAGTCGATCTTAAATGTTTATTACTATTGTATGGTTGGTCACACAGTCAGCCAGATGTTTAGACTGAATTTGGCATTTTTATCCACCTATTGAGTTCTTCCAAATGACCTAGGATAGGCAGATGTTGTTTGATGTTTTTAAAGGTATCCTCACAGGATATTATTATATGATCCTTCAATTTCCAGGGAGGTAAACCAATCATCAGAGCAGTTTGTGACAACAAACAAAAAGCAATATATTGATTGCCACTTCAGCGTTTGTGGATAACAATCCAATTTTGAAAGCTTATTTAAACTTTTAACACTCTATTGATTTTCTATTTGTTACTGTTGTTGACAGATGTACTATTATATTACACTATTAAATTCAATTATATCAATCTATCCTCTCTATTTTTGCATTTCAGTGGTGAACTGTGTACAGTTACACAAACAATTGCAGATGCTTCCCATGTTAGGGGATGTCTATCATGTCACAGGTAATGTGAGACCAATACACCAGGGGGCCCGAACCCCAGGGCTGCGGCCCACTATCGGGCCTCCGCCTACTTGAAATTTGGCCACGCAAGTGGCTGCCCAAGGGGCTGGTTGGCGGGCACTTCTGCAGGTGCGCACCGGCCCATCACTTGCGCAAGTTGAACTGCATGCGTACGCTCCAGCCCACCAATCATGCAAGGGCTATGTACACACATGTGTGCTGACTCACTGCTCGCGTGGCCCAGTTCCCCTCTCTCCTCCCCCAGCCAGCCAGCCGAGCTGCAAAGGTTGGGAACCTCTGCATTACACGATTCACAAAGAAGTGCTCTGCAAAGATCTAGTGGTGGAATTGTTCAGAATAAAGGGATCGCAGTCAATATTTTTGTCGTTGCTTGTTTTTTGATTTTGCCCCTTTTTCAGGGATACTTAAACTGCCTTATGCTGAAATAGAAGAGCCCTTTGAAGCCTGGTTCAACAAGACTGGAGGAAAAAGTCGGATTCAGTATTATGATGGTAATGCATGTTTGACAGCAAAGTGATGGGATCACCCAATGAAAATCTTCCTGACATTTTCACCATGAATATAGATAGCCCTTCAGGAGGAAGAATAGATGAAAGGTCAGGCTGATGTCCATACAGACTGGACTTCTTGCAGGAACTGGATATATCTAGTCTAACAAAGAGAAGGACTAGGGGTGACATGAGTCTTCCAATATTTGATCTCTATCAGGAGAAGAGGAGGTTTGCTATTCTCCAAAGCACCTGAGGGCAGGACCAGAAATAACAGATGGAAAATCATTACAGAGAGATCCAACCTAGAATTTTCTGACAATGAGAACAATTAATCAGTGGAACGGCTTGCCTCCAGCAGTTGTGGGTGCTCCACCATTAGAGGTTTTTAAGAAGGGATTGGACAACCATTTGTCTAGAAAGGCATAGAGTGTTGGACTAGAAGACTAGAAGACCTCCAAGGTCCTTCCCAACTCTGTTATTTTGCATTCTGTATCTTGGACTGCCCAAATGTGTTGAGATTCAATTCACAATTTCATGGCTGTAGTAAGTTGAGGATGCTGGTAAAAACTCATATTATCTGCTTTCTGCAGCGCCTTTCAGATAAAGGTTTCTCCCATCATCATCATTACTTTTTTTATATATTCCACCTTATCGCCAAGAAAGGAAAGTAGATAGAGGTACATACCCCATTACTTTTTAAATTTGTACTGGAATTCTGTGGTGTAAGTTAGCTCCCAGGCTCTGGCCCTGGACCCTTTCCAAAGCATGTACTCTGCCATTGACCTATTTTTCCTCCCCATCTGTTCTACTCACATGCATGCCACATGCATTGTCTTATAGAGCTCATTTGAATGCACTGCCTACACTAACTCACTCTGACAGCCAAAAGTCTTCTGCTGGAAATGTTGGGAGTTGTGGTCCCAGAACACCTAGAAGGCACCAGAGTCAGCAACCATTATCCTAATGAAATAAGAAGGGGCTATATTGTCAGAGGCAATCAAATATTTGGTGTAATTCTGCTTTTCCCTTTTTTCCAGGCCAAGTTATCACTTACCAGTTAGGCTATGTCAAACCTTTTGGAGCCAACTTCAAGGTAACCCCAGAAACCACTGAAACAGAGGTCAATATTAAGGAATGTTTTCAGATCAATGGAACATCTGAGGATCCTGTTAGACCTCAAAGTGTGTTTCCTAACTTAACAAACTTCCAGGTGAGGGTTTTTTGCCATCTTCTCATCTTACTCAATTTTTCATGTATTGCATCAAACCTGAATTATGTTAACTATAATTAAGATACATACTGAAAATCATGGAGTGGATCTCTTGATTTGCTTTTATGTCCCACCAGCTCGGTGTCCACCTGCACAGGTTGGCTCCCATATAGTTTGTCAATGAACAGTGAAAACAGTGCCTCTTAAATGAGGCACTTCCCCAAATGGGAGAGGTGGGTGTATTGTGACATTTCTAATAAGCCTGGTTGGGATATGTGCATGTGTTATCTGTGATTTCATTTAATTGGCAATGTCTTAAAAGGGTTTAATCATGAAATAAAGCATTGTCTATACCCACTGACTTTGGACTTTGCCAGATTGGAGTCAGTGCAACTATTTCTGTTTAGTTATCCATAGTTGCACTGAAGATCTTGCCATACAAAGTCACACCCAGTGTATAGAGGAGATCCACTTTAGACACTTTTGCTGAATACCAATGCGTAATATTTGCCACTGACCTTTCCATTAATGTATGGGTAAACCTTCCCTCTATTCTTTGTTTTTACACTCTAGCCTGTGAGGCATGAGCATTACAATGGACAATATTGCACAGTCTTGGAGAGTGTATCCTATTGGGGTAAAAAGAAGAACACCTATAAGTTGTGGGTGGCAGATGCTTCCCGTGGGCCTTTGCCAGTCCATTATGAAATGAAAGGCTACAACACTCTGCTGGGCTCTCACTATGACAAGTATGAGATAGATTACATCAGCTACTCTCACAGTTTCTCACCCAGCATCTTCAATCTCCCTCCTGGTAAGTATGGATGAAAACATTTTCTGGAATATTGTCAGTACACAGACCCTTCCTCTGATCTAATGCATTGGTTGAATTCCTCCAGTCTAGTCAATTTTCCCCAACCCAGCTGTCTCCAGATGAATGGGAGTTCTGGAAGATGAAATCCAACATGTCTGGAGGGTACTAAATTAGAAAAAGCTGATGGAGTCTATTTACAAGGGACCTGTATTGTAGCTGTAATAATGTCCTACCCAAAGGAATGCTACTTGCTACCTTTCCGATGTTTGTTTTTAAAACCATCTCCCTTTAGCCCAAGTTAGTCTGTATTTTATTTTATTTTTTCAATATAAAATTTTTTATTGTTTTTATCATAAGAGAAAAAAGAAGTACATCACAGGTATTACACAATGATTTATCCCATCCCCCCACCCCCCGGACTTCCCAAACCAAACCTAGGCTAATATTCAAATACAAGTAAACAAATATTAATATCTCTAACTCCAAACTCTAAACTTAAACAATCCATCTCCTCCGTGTCAATAAAAATTATTCATTTAATTAGTTCTTCAAATACCCAAAATCTTTACCATTTCAGCAAGATAGTTTAACAACCTCCCTTACTTATACAAAAAAAGAAAAGAAAAAAAAATGTCCATCTTCCATAAAGTTAACAAATTAATTCTGTCATTTCATGAAGCTACACCTATAAAAAATCATTTGGAACCCTTAATAAGGTTTACAACTTCGATTACTTAATTATCATTCAATTGTTTTCAATTATTACAGCATTATTATATTTATAATAATCTTCCTTTTAATAAAAATTATTCCTTTAATTAATTCTTCAGATACCCAAAATCTTTACCATTTCAGCAAGAAAAAAAAAAAAGAAAAAATTCCCACTTCCATAAAGTTAACAAGTAAATTCTATCATTTCATCAAACTA